GGAAATGTACTTAGAAAAAGGTCCACTGTGCCCTGGGATTGTCCAGAAGGGGGAGACTCACCTGCAGAACTCTGTGTGCCAGTCTGAACCTGGTCCCTGGAGTATGACTCAGATTATAAAATACCCAAGCTCAGTAATACCTTCAAATGTTACTTGTTGCCCTTTTTTATTCCTCCGTTTGTTGTTTTGGATTCATCAGGCTTATCTTGTTTCTGATGCCTTGTCAATCGCCCTCCACAGCTTCTGGGTGCACACATGATGTTATGTTTGGGGCCTCTGTTTCTACTAGATCTGACTACTCAAGTTTTCTCTGGGTAGTATTGCCCAGTAAATTTGAATTTCAGATAAACAGCTAATAACTTTTTAGTAGAAGTATGTCCCATGCAATATTTGGAACAAACTTGTGTTAAAATTTATTTTGTTGCTATCTGAATTGAAATTTATCTGGGCCTGCCAGCCTGCCCCACCTCCCACCTCCCTCCCTCCCTCCCCTCCTCCCTCCCTCCCCTCCCTCCTTCCTTTCCCTTTCCTTTCCTTTTCCTTTTCCTTTGCTTCCCTTTCCCTTTCCCTTTCCCTTTCCCTTTCCCTTTATTTATTTATTTTTTCATGTAGCAGCCCTACCTGGGTGGCAGCCCTGATTTCAGGTGCTATAAAATAACATTTACTTCACTGATGCTTCATGGAGCCCTAGTAGTGTGGAAATTTTTTTTTTTTTTGTTAAAAGGTGTTGGATGAGAAAAGAACTCTCAGCTACAATCACATATGGTAAATCCTGGGTCATTATGGGAATTTTTAGAACCTTTTAAATAATTTGTTTTAAGTTTATTTGTGGGAGAAAAAAAAGAGAGGAGAGGAGGGGATGGGAGAGACAAGAAGGAGAGAAGAGAGAATCCAAAAGCGGATCCATGCTGTCAGAGCCCAATGTGGGGCTTGAAGTCATGAACCATGAGATCATGACCTGAGCTGAAACCAAGAGTTGGACACTTAACCGACTGAGCCACCCAGGCACCCCTAGAATCTTTTAAATCTTCAAGATTGAGTCATAGTATTTAGTATTTCTCAAAGTTTTGTCACTGTGAAGCTATCCTCCTGCCACCCCTTACTTGAGTATTTAGGGTCATGGGAATAAATGTTGAATGAATGCTGAGAGTCTTTGGTAATCAGTTTTGTTTGTAGACCATGTGTTCTGATTTTGGGTTTGGGGAAAATACCACTCTATAGAAAACAAAAAATTCTGCCTAATGTTATAATCGCTTTTGTTTTTAAAATCTATACATTTAAAAATCTATAAATGTATAGGTCAGTGTATATAAACAAAAAAACTAGAAGGATGTATACCAAAATGTTAACTATAATTATCCCCAGGCAGGGATGTGGTTAGGGAAAGAGATTATAAGTGATTTTCTCTTCCTTTTTGTTTGGCTGTATTTTCTGCAATCAGTATATGTAATGCTTGTCATATATAGCTCTAGTCATATGACATTTGATTATTATATTTTTTTAAATGTCACTTTCCATGCATTATCTTATTTGCCTCTCAAGCAACTCAGTGATAATAGATTCTGTTATCCCCATTTTATGGATGAGGAGACTTTACACAGCTCTTTAGCAGACCCACGTCTCTTGATGTCATTACCCATGCTGCCTCTTTGGTATGAGAGAATGGCAGCACACGCTGTCCTCAGAAGGGCTGTGGTGCCTCCTCACCCAACCCCCTCGGTTTACAGTTCAAGGTTGAGACCCTGAAAGCGAAAAGGACTTGAATGAGACATGTGGTTTTTGAACAAGGACAAGTCCCCCAAACTATCATTTTCTGGAGCAGGGCTGGGAGAGGGAATCAAGCCACTGTTTACCAGAAGCCTTGACTTTATCTGTTATACTGAGCCCAGAAGGGTGAGGGGAAAAATGTACTGATGTGCAATGGAGAATACAGTGTGTGTGTGTTTTTTTAAGGTCACTTTGATAAATGGTTTATGTTGCCAAGATCACATTGCTTTAGAATTTTTTTTTCTTTTCATAGTATACCTCATTTAACTGTGTCTTTTTTAAATGCATTTTTTTCTTTTCCTCATCTATTTTTCCTGTGAATCTTATTCACATATCCATTTATGTAGAGCTACTGTGGTGATTATGATGTTTGGGGTTTTGCGGGTTCATCTGAGTAGTGTTCCTGTTTATTGCCCCATGCCCAATACTTAGTTACATGGATGAATGAATTGTGGGAGTGGTATTTGGGGGAAAGTCAGGGTCCAGCTCCTCAAAGAGACCTGGGGTCAGAGGACACTGTGAAGAGTTGTGCTTGTGTGATCCGGAATCAGTGTGTGGCCCTATCAATGTGGCTGTGCTGCTTCGAGAGGAGGGAGATTCTAGAATATTGCAGCTCACAGGCATTGAGGGGTTCCATTCAGCTGAGCCTCCAGCCATTAGGACAGGTCCAGCAGTGCTGTCTACCACAGGGCAGGGGACAGCAGCATCCTACTTCAAGAGGAGCCAGGCTTTGGAGTCAGATGGATCAGGGTATGAATCCTGGTCCTAAGACCCACTAGTTGTGTGACTTCAGGATAACCTCTCTATGCCTCTGTTCCCTCCTCTGTAAGCTGGGGATGATAATAAAAACACCTCATAGGATTGTTGTGGGGATTAAATGAGTACGTACACATGGAAGAGTACCTGGCACGTCATAAGTACAAATAAGTGTCAACGACTATTATCATTAACAATGATACAACATAAAATCCCAAGAATAAGGACGCCTGGGTGGCTCAGTCGGTTAAGCGTCTGACTTTGGCTCAGGTCACGAGCTCATGGTTTGTGAGTTCGAGCCCCGCATTGGGCTCCGCATTGACAGTGCAGAGCCTGCTTGGGATTCTCTCTCTCCCTCTCTCTCTGCCCTTCCCCCCTGTCTCCTGCTCTCTCTCTTTAGATAAAAAAAGAGAGTTGTCAGTTGGCAATGAAGGCAGAAGCCAGACCATGGAAAACAGTTGTTATATTGAGGAGTTTGGATGACTAAAGAGCCAAATTCTATCCTCAGGGATTTCCATGAATTCCTTCAAGCATTACAACTCTGTGATATAGGTGTTATTAGCCCCATTTTGTTAATGGGGAAGTTGAGGCTCCAAAAAATTTTCACTTATCCAGAGGCATAGACTTAGAAGATAGTAGAGCCAGGATTTGAACCTAGTTCTCTCTGGCTCCAAAGCTAGAGTTCTTTTGATGGCAACCTATGCCTTCTGAACTTGAACTCTGGCTATTAGCTTTATGACTTCAGACTACCCTCAGTTTAGTCACCTGTAAAATAGGTAACATTAATAAATGCCAGCCTCAGAGACTTGTAAAGACAAATGAAAATACATCTAAAATGCCAAGAATAGTGCCTGGCATATTAGCGAATTCCACAACGGGGGACCCTTGACAGAGAAGCGTTTTTCCTTCACAGGCCCGGTGAACTGAGAGAAAACCCCATGAGCTGCCATATGCATGTTGGCCTGGTTGTCGGTCATCTTTCCAAGGATGAGTTAAGACCCACATAGAAATCATCTCTGCACATAGGGAATCTCCTCCCCCTAGCTACTTGACAAGTCTCAGTGGCGTGGCCTCTCTTTCGACCCTGCAGCCCCGTAGCCATTTGAGCTTCAGCTCTGCTGGTAGGCATGATCCTGAGGCTTTCTTCAGCTCTCCCAAGCACCCTTCCCCTCATGGGCTCAATGGGTGTCCTTTTCCTCTTCTTCCGGAGTCCACCAGGCCTGCTCTTCCTGCACCTTATGAAATGAGCTTCACTGCTGGTTTGAAATATATTTGACTTTGTGGTTGTTGTTTGACTTTTCTCACACTAGTCTCCATGGCAGAGCCTGTCTCATCTCTGTTTCCTACCATAGTTAGCCCAGTGCTATAGTAGGTACCCAATAGATTATAATGGTTTTCACCAGGATAGAGCTTTGTGGATACCAAGACTCTTCTGTACAGTTAAAAAAAAAAATCTTTACAACTGTCCTCTGAAGTAGACACAGCATGTAGTATTCTTTTCAGCACAGTTGGAGAAATTAAGGCCTACACTCAAGCATTAGGCCTACTAATTAACTTTTTAATTCTACAGAGTAGACATTTACTAAATATAACTGTCCCATGCATGGGCTAGGAAATAGAGCCAAAAGATATAATCCCTTCCCTCAAGGATGAAGCAGACACTTAGTTTTAGGACAGAGGGATGATGAAAATGTTTCAATTTATTTGGAGGAGAGCAGCAAAAAATTCAGAGAGAAAGAGATGCTTGCATTGAGCTTTACAGGATTGACTTGGTGGCACAGAAAGGGCAGGAGGGAGGGGATTCCGGGCAGAGGGAGTGACACGTGCCACAGCCCATAGGAATGAGGAGCCAGGCACCTTGGAAGGTACTGCGGTGTCAGCCTGGCTGGCAGGAGGCTCTGCGGTGGTGGCAGGGGAAGATGGCGATAACTCCCTCGGTTAAGACTCCAAGACATCCAGGACTTACCGGGGACTGAGAGGTTTGTTCCTAGTTCCTTCCCTTCATTCAGTCTCCCAGTCACTTGGCATTCTTCCCAGAGGCACATACCGCATGTGCATAAACCACCTAGAAGCTTTGGATGGGCTCTCTTTTGTCCCTGCTTCCTTGCACTCCCAGCTCATCTGCACATGGGTTTGTAATCTCCTTTCCATGCTGAAAGAAAACAGATCTTGCTACATGAGTGACCTGTGACCTGACAACTTAGCAGAATAAAGGTTACCAGGTGAAAGGCCATTGGTATCATTTCCGCTCTGTGGCATGAGGTAACCGCGAAGGAGTAAAGTTCATCTGTGACCAGACACCTGTGTTCCTGTCTCACTGGCAAGATCACCGTTAAACTGAAGAGCATTAAATTGCTCTTCGAATGAGTCAGATCCCTTGTTCCCGAGGAGACGAGCCTGGCGCAGCTTGAGCTCTGTGGGCAAGTCTGACCAGGCCTCATCTCACTCTTGCCTGTGTTTGCCTTGCAGCTGTGTAAATGAGTATGGAAGATTATGATTTCCTGTTTAAAATTGTTTTAATTGGCAATGCTGGTGTGGGGAAGACGTGCCTAGTCCGACGATTCACTCAGGTAAGAGAACTTGGAAGTCCAGAGTTGGGTTTCTCAGCCCAGCCTAAGAGGATGGGTGAGCGGTCCCAGTGCCGGCTTCTTGGCTGCTGGTTCTTAATGTGACCTTTGTGCACCAGCTCTTGTAGCCTAGGTCAGAGTTTTGGAAACCATCTCAGGGGAGCATGGCTCTCTGGGTGCACCAATCAGTCCTCCCCACACTCTTGTTGCTTCCTTTGTGAAAGGGGCAAGTGGTTTTGCTTTTGGTGTGCTATTCAAAACAGATTATTAGATTAAAAATAGATTATCACTTAAGAATCTAAACGTGTTAACCAAATGAATCTGGACCTCAGACTAAACCTAAATACTAATTAAACATTTTTTTCTTTTTATTTATTTATTTATTTATTTATTTATTTTTTGAGAGAGAGTGTGCACGCATGAGCAGGGGAGGGGCAGAGAGAAGGAGAGACAGAATCCCAAGCAGGCTCCACACCATCAGTGCAGAGCCCGATGCAGGGCTTGAACTTACAAACTGTGAGATCATGACCTGAACCGTGATCAAGAGTCGGATGTTTAACTGACTGTGCCACCCAGGAGCCCCTAAATATTAATTTTTTAAAAACTCAAATACAAATTAAGCCAATCAATCCCTTGCCTATGCCCTCTCATATCCTCCTAGGCAAGTGAGTGAGTCATTTTGGTTTAGAACCAAATATGCTGATGTTTTGAAGTCTATTAAATGGGAGTGAAATGAGAACAGTGAAGGACTATTTGAACGAAATTAAATGTTCCCTCTGGATTGAGTCCTTATCGTATGATCTAAGTACAAGTTCCCATCAGGGCTGCTGCCCTTTTGAGAATTACTGCCAGAGATTATATGCCTGTTTTTGTACAGAAATGAGTGAGAAATCATTCTGAAGTTGGCCTTCTTTTGTATTTTCCTTGAAAAAATATGAACGGCATCCTTTTCAGGATTATGATGCAGGCATCTTGCATTTTTTCATAAAATGCCAGTTGGGAAAGCTGAGACTAGCTGTGCTAAGGCATAGGACAGCTGGATGCCCTGGAAAGAGCACCAGCTTGAGTGTGGAGACTCGGGTCCTAGTCCCCACTCTGCGCTGGCCCATCCTGTGGGCCTGGATAAGTTACCTCCCCTGCTGGGCCTCCCTGCCACACGTAAGGGACCTGGTGATCTCTGAGGCCACTTCCAGCTCTGACAGTCTGTGGTTCTCTGCAGAACTGGAGAGACAGATTGGATAACACAGACGGCTTTAGGGCATAATCACCTTTGGAAATGCCAGGGATTTTCCCATGGTAAATGAACACGGAATAGAACTCATGCTTTTTACTAAGTCTGGGCCCGGTGAAATCAAAAGTAAGAAGCTACCAGGCATCTGGGCTTAGTCAGCCGCTGTGGCGTTATACTGGAAACTCCAACTGGTTTTACTTCCGCCTAACGGTAATCTTTTCTGCTTTGGCAGGAGGACAAGACTGCAGAGTTGTAGAAGAGTTTTTAGTACCTTTATCAAAATTTCCTTTGACCTTGTTTTATTACTGAAATATCCCTTAGAGATTATTCAGCCTATTCCTCTCATAACACAGATGAAAAACTGAGGTCTACAGGGACAAAGGACCTCTTAGCATCATACGTCATGTTAGTGGCAACGATAGGATTAGAACCCAGGTCTCCTGCTTCTCAGCCTGGTCGTTTTTATTTTCTGTGTCCTAACCTCTGAGACCATAGGAATATGGCTTTTGTCTTTAAACTTTGTCATTAAAGGTAAAATGCTTCCATTTTTGAACATTAATTTTTACCAATAAGCACAACTACCCCTTTCTTTTCTCTCTACTTTTTACACCCACCCCATGCCCCAGACCCTTAACTCCTCCCAAAAGTAACATTCCCTAGAGAGGATTATGTTTGGTTTTGTTATTTGGTAGGCAGTTAAAATGAATTGGATTCAGCTGTTTTTGAGGCATGAGGAATTGGGGAACAAAATGATGGGGGAGATGCTGGGAAGGATCTGCTTTATTTTTTTGGCATTTATTAGACAGCAAAACAGCTGGAGTGATAAACTCGAAGCTTGGCAGCCTTGTGTTTGAGCCAAACTAAAATAGAAGAAAATTGATTCAATATTTGTAAGTAAAGTTATGAATGTTTATATTTACATCTTTTGCAGACATGCAGTGGAATATTTTCTATGGGTTTGAAGCTCAGTCTTCTAAGTTCAAACTTTAATTAAAGAACTCTCCTGTTAGGGAATAGACTTAATTAAAGATGCCCCAATCTTAGCTGCCAGAGCTAATAAAGTCCATTTTACTTTAATTTCTGGCAATTCTGGAATAGAAGTGGAGAGGGAATGGGACTAGGTGCAGAGCTCTTCCTTAATAGAATTCCTTCCCACCTCCAGGTCCCTCCCTGAGCCTCTAGGAAATATTGTATACCAGTAACGCACATTGTACGTGTAATTTCGCTAAAATGGTATCTTTTTAGTTCACCTTTCAGTTTGAGGTACCGCTTTTTTTTTTTTTTTTTTTTTTTTTTTTTTTTTTTTTTTTTTTTTTTTTTTTTTTTTGCTTTGTTTTCTTTTGAAATGCTTGCATCAGCCTCAAACCCACTGAATTTAAGACCCAGAGAAGGGGACTCGTTTGCCTAGGACCACACAGAGAACCTCCGGGCTCCCAGTTTAATGTTCTTCCTACTACACTTTCTCCCTGAATTTTATTTTCTGTGATTATCTTCCAAGTGTCATGGGCCCTGATCTCATGGAATTCTATATGTGTGGTACAATGCACTAAGGGAAATTGTTATCACCCTCAGGGCAGAGGGAAATCCAAAAGCTTCACTATCTCGTTCATGTTTCTTGTAGTGAGTTCCTGTTTGCTTTTTCATGTTGCTTGTCCACCCCCGTGACTGTCCATGCCCTAGACCAATAACCAGTTTTAATCTTCCTGGAATTTACCTCTTTGGGAGCACTATCCTTTTTGCCCCTCTTCCAACAATCCTGATCTCATCCTGATGGCTTCATGCTCCTCGGTCTTACCCTTGTGTCTGACTTTTGCTTCAGTCTTTGAAATCAGGGCCCCCACCACTTCTCCGTTCTCTCCCTTCACCCCTCTTTCTCCCCCTTTTGCATCCCCCTTTCAGTTTCTTTGTTCTTTTAGCATTCCTCTCTCCACCTTCTCCCTCCTTCCTCCTCCCCTCATACATACATACAAAATCAAATTAAACAAGGCTCCCCTGACACTAACCAGAGTTCTCTTTTCTTCCAGTTAACTCAGCCAAAGGAAGGGGCTGGTGATGGATAGCGAGCGGGGAGAGGGGAGAACATTTCATTTAGTTGAAAGATTTGCTTAATTATTTTCCTTTATTTCCTCTTTAGGGTCTTTTCCCTCCAGGGCAAGGAGCCACGATTGGAGTTGATTTTATGATTAAGACAGTGGAGATTAATGGTGAAAAAGTAAAGGTAAGATGCTAAGTGTTCAATCAGGATTTCATTGTGCTATGTGAGAGGAAGTAGTGTTTTCATAACATTTATTAAATCTCCTAATCAAATCCCTCATTGAAAATAATATACTCAGCCATGGAAACTTATTTCTAAACAGAGTTCTTCTATTCCCTTTGTAGATGTTGTGTTTATTCTTAAGAACAGCAGCCCCATGAAAGAGCCTGCTGATTCCCACTTTGGTTATGGGTCATTCGGTCATATGCATCACTTATTGGAGTTATTGTGTCTCCCACCATAACCCTATTTGTAACAGGGGAGAAATTCTAAGTGAGGGGTCCAGGAAGGATCCACTATCTCCCTTTTCCTCTCTGTGGCCTTCCGGACTGTTGGGTACCTGTAAGAACCATGGTATGTCTAGTAACCAGGAGAAGGGAGGTAGTGTTTATTGACCTAATATGTCAGTCATATTATTGACCTAACATTCATATTTAACTTAGTTCTTACCGTAACCCCTGTGAGGTAAGTGGCAAATTACCTTCCTTTTATAGGTTTCAGAGAGATTGAGCAACTTATCCATGGCTACACAGGAAGGAAGGGAGGTAGGCGATCTGAACTACTTTTGCAAGCCGGTGATCCACTGCCTCCCTGGGGTCTCCTCTGCTATGCAAAAAGAGGGGGATGAAGGCACAATAGGCCTGTCACCTTGAAGCAAGGAAAGGAGGAAGGTGATGGGAAGAAATGTGGAATAACATTGAATTATATGGAAAGAGGGTAGAGAGGCTGATGGTTGGCTCTGTGCTCTACCTGCCCCTCAGAGTTAGTGAAATTCCACTGTCACATCTTTCAGAGCTGAGTCCCATGGTGAGAAGCAGTGACCCATAAACAGCCAAATGAAAACTGCGGCATCAGAATTCCAACTAGATCTCACTTAAGCATCCCAAGTTTGAATCCATGTCTCTTGCATCCTTCTCCCATATATACCTGCACTCCTGCCTTCAAATGCCTCGGGAAGGGCAGAGAAGCTCCAGGGTGCTCTTGCAGCATTTCAGAGATACACAGTGAAGTGTTTAGGGTGAGGTTCCTGAGGGGGGGCAGAGCTATCCCACTTCTCTTCCAGCCCTGACTCCTCAAAGTGGTTCCTTAGGCAGAGGCGTCCACATCAAATACAATAGTGAATGGAGAACTGGGGGCGCTGGAAAACAAAGCAGGGTGTGAAACCCATGTAAATGCCAACCAGAAAGCTCAGAAAAGCAGTGCATTGGGGTGGGGAGAAGGAGCTAGGGTGTGCGAGTAGGAAGGAGACAAGAGTGTGTGTCCAGGGAGTATTGGCAGAAGAGCCAATTTTAAGTACTATTCCAGCCGAGTGGAGGTGATGGCCACCCCTAGGAGTTGAGTAAGGATAACTAGTGTTTCAAGCATTTTACTTCCAGATGTTTGGGTTTCCTATTCATATACACATAAATGTGTGAATTCATTCCTTTGACCACAAATGCTATGTGCCAAGCCCTGGGAATGAATAGGGGTGAATATTCATTTCCCCACTGTGATCCCCACTGTTAAAGAACAGGCTTTTTTTTTTTTTCTGAATCCCCAGGTTTAGGTATTGCATTTATTCCATTTTCTACAAACCATAAGCTCATTGTTACGTGCTTATTATACTCAGCTAAAATCCATCTTTTCATAACATCTAACTCTACCATGAGACCACAGGCTCCCCAAGAACGAGGTTTGTGTCTTACTCATCTCTGTATCCATGGCATAGTTCCTATCCTGTTACCTCTCCTGGCCCCTAGAACTTCACCTTTAAACAGTAAGAGTTGGGGGCACCTGGGTGGCTCGGTTGGTTAAGCATCTGACTTCAGCTCAGTTTATGATCTCACCATTGGTGAGTTTGACCCATGCATCGGGCTCTGTGCTGACAGCTCAGAGCCTAGAGCCTGCTTCAGAATCTGTGTGTGTGTCTCTCTCTCTCTCTGCCCCTCCCCCACTTGCACTCTGTCTCTCTCTGTATCTCAAAAATAAACATTAAAATAAAAAAATAAACAGTAAGAGATTTAATCTTCCAAATGCAGTCCTAATTAATTTGTTTGAGTTTTTTTCTAGCCATTTATATAGAATCAAGATCTAAAATAATGCTCTGAGAGTGGTGCCTGGTGGCTCAGTTGGTTGGGTATTCAACTCTTGATTTCAGCTCACAGTAGTGACATTGGGCCCTGCATTGGGCTCTGCACTGGGCATGGAGCCTGCTTAAGATTCCTTCTCTCCCTCTCCCTTCATCTTTCCCTTCTTTCCCTTGCTGGTGTGTGCATGCACACTCTCAAAACAAAAATAAAAATAATAAAATAAATGACCTTCTTCAACCACATTAATCCAAGGGCCTCATTAACACATGGATACAAAAAAAAAAAATAACACGGGGATACATGAGGAGCAACTTCTTCAGTCTTTCAGTAGAAGAAGGAAGAGCTGCCCAAACTTCCCTAGGGAAAGAGTTTTTGTCTTACTGTTATCCTTGTTCTTTAATGTTTACCGAATACCTCTTCTTGGTGATGTTTAAGTGTCGTTTTGCAGGTAGTGTGAAGGCTTTCTTAGAACCTCGTAAGTCAGTGGAAAAGAGAATCTACGGGTAGTTTGTGCAGGATCACCTGCCTGGTGAGTGCCAGGGCAGCACCACAACCTAGGTCTCTTTCCTGACTTTCCATCACCCCGCCTCAGCCTCCCCTATTAAGGCTCATTCCTTCTAGGATAGCCTCCAGGACTGAAGGCAGGAAATCAAAGGTATTAGAAAAATTCTTGTGGCTGTTAAGCCTTAGTGCCAAGTCAGTAAAGGCAAAGTTGAGGCCCTTCCTTAAAGTGGTCTGCACCTGGGTAACTTGGCTGAGCATCTCATTTGGGCTCAGGTCATGATCTCACGGTTTGTGAATTCAAGCCCCACATCAGGCTTGCTACTATCAGTGCAGAGCCCTCTTTGGATCCTCTCTGCCCTTTCCCTGCTAGCATACACACATGTTCTCCCTCAAAAACAAATACATAGAAAGAAAGAAAGAAAGAAAGAAAGAAAGAAAGGAAGGAAGGAAGGAAGGAAGGAAGGAAGGAAGGAAGGAAGGAAGGAAGGAAGGAAGGAAGGAAGGAAAGAAAGAAAGAGAGGTCTGCATTTTGCAAATGACCTTGAGTAGAAAATGGGATGAAAACAGATGTAGAATTTTCTCCTATCCTTTTTTTTATCAGTCTATCATAAATAAATGAGTAACAAACAAAGCTTTAAGCTCAGACTACAACATTTTAACTTTAGGAGATTAATTATAATATAAATAGAAGAGTTACTATCTTTGTGTCAGGTATATATTACATAGATAAGAAAGTCTTTTGTTTTTTAATTTTATTTAAGTCCAAGTTAGTTAACATATAGTATAATAATGATTTCTGGAGTAGAATTTAGTGATTCATCACTTACATATGACCCCCAGTGCTCATCCCAACAAATGCCCTCCTTAATGCCCATCGCCCATTTAGCCCATCCCCCAACCTAACACCTCACCAGCAACCCTCAGTTTGTTCTCTATATTTAAGAGTCTCTTATGATTTGTCTCCCTCTCTGTTTTCATCTTATTTTTGCTTCCCTTCCCCTATGTTCATCTGTTTTGTTTCTTAAATTCAACATATGAGTGAAATCATATGATATTTGTCTTTCTCTGACTGACTTACTTTGCTTAGAATAATACACTCTAGTTCCATCCACATTGTTGCAAATGGCAAGTTTTCATTT